ATAACTACTTCTCTGAACGGGATACTTGGCCGAACCAAAATAAAGACAAAAAAAATCCACGGAATTTCATCTGGCTTTTGAAGAACAGGTAATATCACTGGCATATTGAAAGGGGTGTTTGGATTCTATAGACTTTCTACCCTATGGTTTTTATCTGAACGCCCACGGCAAGCCTCCATCATTCTCGTCAGCTCCTCTGGCTGCAGCTGAGGGCCGGCGTGAGCTAGAGGGAATGCATGTGAGAGTGTATGGCACAGGGGCGATGAGCAACAGCTTTGAAACTCGGCATATCCTGAGTTCAAACGTTGTCTTCTTTGCTTATGAATGTAATGATCCTGAGCAGGTTACCTGACCCCTCCGAACCTCAGTCTCTTCACCTATGAAGTGGGCTAACAGCCCTGTTCATCTGGCTGTGAAGGTTAAATGAAATTCTATCTACGTGGCATGTGCCTGGTGGTTGTTTTTATAAAATGAACAAAATATATTTGCTACATCAAGTGTTTCAGACTTCTTACTGATACTTGCTCCGGAGAAAAGTTACCAATGCCACACCCAACAACAAACGTTTGAGTTCCCAGCACTGAGAGGGAAAGAGTCCTGACTTTGAAGAGGAATGGACAGAGGACCAGACATGCAAATACAGTACAATCTTAACTGCAGAACCCAGGAGCGCTCACATGGGTGCTCATTTTGTGAGAATTCTTCGCTTGTTGGTATGTTTTAATTTTTCTCATGATAAGATGTCAGGGAAAATTTTAATGCAGAAAGAAGAATTACAAGATTATAAGAGAGTCGAACTGAATTTATAACAGAACACCAAATAAAGATCCTTGAGCGAAAACACTCTGAATGATACCAGAACCGTCCTGATTCCTGCTGAGACTCAGCCAGGGAGATGAACCACGTCACTCACGTGGAACCCGCGTATCTGGGTCAGCATAGTAACAGGTGGATGGGAAGACACACTTAGATCTAGCCAAGACTATTATCTCACGCTTGTCTCCACCAGCACGCAGATCTTTCATTTCCAGGTCACTGTTTTCCCAATCAATCAAGAGGCTAAAAATAGAACAATGTGCTAAATTCAGAGCCATGGTGTACAATCACTGAAGATACGGCCACTGCTTAATTAAAGTGAAAAGACATCCCTTTTCTCCTCCCTTTCTTCCTAGCTTCTATCATTTTACATAGATTCCCATATAATATTTCCTTTGATTCATTTTGGTTTTGTTTTTGTTTTTTGAAATAAGCTTCCATAGGAAATCAAGACTAGGAAGTGAATCGTGAATTCCTCACATGTGAGCCATCTGTTCTGGCAGGACACCCAGAAAATGACCCACAAATACAGGCTTCATTTCTCAAGAGCTCTCCAACTGCCATTCCTGGAAGACCACGGAAGACTTTGGTGAACAGTGCCACAGGGCAAGGGAGTCCCGTGATAGTGCAAGAGATCCAAGTTCAAATAATTATGGCAGGCTTAGACCAGAACCTACTTTTAACAATGTAATTTGGTGGCGCCTGGGTGGCTCAGTTGGTTAAGCATCTGACTCTTGGTTTCAGCTCAGTTCATCATCTCACGGTTTCGTGAGTTCGAGCCCTGCACTGGGCTCTGTGCTGATAGCGTGGAGCCTGCTTGGGATATTCTCTCTCTCTCTCTCTCTCTCTCTCTCTCTCTCTGCCCCTCTCCTGTTCATGCTGTTTCTGTCTCTCTCAAAAATAAATAAAAACTTAAAAAAAAAAAAAACCCACAATGTAATTTGGAAAAAGAAATGACATCCAAAAAGCCTTATGTAGATTGCCCAGTAAGCCTCATATTCATTATTGCCATTCATTTTCATTTATAAGAATAAATTAATATCCTTTTAAAGAGCAAAACCTTGGGGCGCCTGGGTGGCGCAGTCGGTTAAGCGTCCGACTTCAGTCAGGTCACGATCTCGCGGTCCGTGAGTTCGAGCCCCGCGTCGGGCTCTGGGCTGATGGCTCGGAGCCTGGAGCCTGTTTCCGATTCTGTGTCTCCCTCTCTCTCTGCCCCTCCCCCGTTCATGCTCTGTCTCTCTCTGTCCCAAATAAATAAATAAACGTTGAAAAAAAAAATTTTAAAGAGCAAAACCTTTTTTGTGTTGTTCTTGAGATTCTGATTTATAGGGAAGAGCTACAAACATTTGGCTTCTAAGAAATGTACAGCACCGATAGTTCTTTAACCTCAATGCCATTTTCACCTCATTTACTAAAGAACAGTGTGGCTCACACTGTTCAGGGCTAAAGCAAATTGTAATCCAGACCTCCTAATATTTCTCTTTTCCTTTATCCTCGTCAAGGACTCTTATCTCAACCACTTTGCCTCCTGCTGTGGAAATGGTTTATATTCTTAAAGGTTTGCTCTCAAGAGGGGAAAAAATGGTACTTAACCACTAACCACAGTAGTAAAACGTCAGTAATGTGATATTGCCAGCACCCACACACGGTCTATTGCACATAAATTGTAGTCCAGATGAACTATACTTTAATAACATGATCCCAGGGCTCCGGGGCCACCACTGGGCCAGCCATTAGCAGTCACAGAGCTGGGATGGAAGTCTGCACAGTGATAATCACCACCATGATTCAGTGAGCGCCTACTGTATGCCAAGCACCGAGATCAAGACATTACTTAATGTGTAATTCTCACAACTGCCTGCGAAGGTAGGTACTATCAGCTCCACTTTACAGGTATGGAAAGCTTGGCTCAGGAAGGCTCATCAAGATCACACAGGAATTCGGCAAACCGCCTTGCCTTCCTGGAAGCTGCCGGTGGCTCTGCAGCCAGAGTCTGTCCATTTCTTTTTTAAAAATTTTTTTAATGTTTAGTTTTGAGAGATAGGAATCCGAAGCAGGCTCCAGGCTCTGAGCTGTCGGCACAGAGCCCGACGTGGGGCTCGAACCCACAAGCCATGAGACCACGCCCTGAGCTGAAGTCGGGTGCTTAACCGACTGAGCCACCCAGGCGCCCCTAGAGTCTGTCCATGTCTAACGCCACTGTAGTAAGATCTTAGACAAGATAGCTACGTCCCTGAGCCCCAACTGTCTTTGTGAACAAGACTGAGGAGCAGACCAGTTGCCCCACAGGGGGCTGCCATGACGGTGAGGTGAACCACACGGGGGACTGACCCGCACCGCTCGTGTGAGTGATCAGCACCAGCTAAGGAGAGAAGACAGTTGCTACGCTTTTGTGTCTTCCTGGCAATTCCTCCATCCTTAAAAACTCCCATGGTTTTCGCTACCCCAACCCCCATCCCCCGCCACTCATCTGTATTTAAAACATTGAATACTTCTCTCTCAGGACACTATGCATTGAGATGTTCAGAGGTTTTGGCTGGGAAGCAGGAAAGAAGATGGAGACACAGAAATAATGACCCTGACCTTGTAGTTTTCAGTTTTCTCTAGCTCCTCGTTCCTTGGCTTTTCTTGGTACCATCATATTCTACACATGCTTATTGTCCATCCTCTGCGCAATCCGAACTGTGGATTTATTTCTCCGTCTAAGGCAGAAAGTTATTGAAACCCTGTCACCCAACCCACTCCTGTCTTCAAGTACAAAACACCCCAGATTTAAAAGCTAGGACTATGTTAGCCATGGAGGTACCACACACCTTTCTGTTTCCAGAAATACAGTCGTGTGCAGATTATTTGTCTCGGCTTCACCTTGTTGTAAGAACCACTCAAACTGATATTCCCCGCCTCCCATCCAAATAGGGAAATGAGCTCTTCAGCTGATTTCTAAGATGGCAAAACAGCTTCGGCACATAACTTGGTCTCCTTCTGCTTGGTTCTGAATAATCCCAAACAGCTCTCACTATATCTATTCAATCGGCAAAAGTCACTCTATTTTTATCCCTTGTGTCCAAATAACTTTTACACTGAGTTCTAAAACCAAGATGCGGACGTAGTACTGTGTCATTCTCGGCATACTTCTCCTGAATAGCTGTCCCTGAGTCGCCGATTCGTTCAGTACGCGGCATTACTTAGTACCTGCACTGTGCCGGGCCCCTGAGACACAAACACTGAGCCAAAGCAGATGCAGTGCGAGCCCTCAGGGAGGTTACAGTCTGCTGGAATAGACAGACCCGCGCTGAACAATCACACAATCACTGAAAGTGAAACAGGCGTGAGAAAGGAGAGCGGCTGACCCAGCTAGCAAGGTGCAGCGGGCTTTCTCAAGCAATCCTTGAGCTGAAGAATGATTAAGGGTCAAGGAAGTGCAAACAGGCAAGAAGAGCTTTCTAGAGACACCTGAAGAAGGAGCATGGATGGGTGAAAGGTGGCCAGTGTGGCCGCGGTGCAGAGACGTTAGAGAAACTTGCTGTGAGCTAAAGCTGGAGGCGCGGGTGAGGGCCAACACAAATCCCACGCGTCTCCTCTCTGTGCCACAAACATGGGAATGGGCTGAAGGGTGGTGACACGATCTGCTTTGTATGCTGACTGCGGTGGGGAGGCTAGATCCCCGCAATTCACGGTGGCAGGAGAAAAACCAGTCAGGAGGCTGTGGCAGCGATCCAGAGAAAAGATCACAGCAGCCCGGTCCAGTCAGGTGACGATGAAGGGGAGTATTCTGAGGGTACATCGTGGGCAGGACCAGGTGTCAGGACCATGCTATGGGCTGTGCGTGCGTGAATTCTTTCTGAATTCTCAACGACACCCGTGGGGCAGGGGTTCTTTCTCACATTTTATAGATGAGAATGCAGAGGCATGTAGGGATCTGTCCAAAGTCCAGGTGGGAAACAACAGAACCAGAACCTGAACCCATGGTTATTCAACTTCAAAGCCAACTACATAAGTACCATCTAAAAAGTAGAAATACAGACAGAAAAAAAAAATACTATAGCAAAGTTTCAAAACTTAAAAGCCTCTCCACCTACTTCACTAAGGTGCCAAGGGACGAGCCCCAAAGGCGAACACGATTTTAGGTTTCCCTTTACTAAAATGGACTCTCTTTTGACATGTTATACTCGCGGAAGGCATACCTATTTCAACATAGCGACTCGGTAAGTCCCTCATTTCGCTGGCATGACGCTCCTTCACTGAGCAGATCTAGAAAAGAAATTCACAGGTTCTTTCATTCATTGCATGGAAAAGACATAGCATGTCATTCACTATAGGACACTTTCGTTAAACTGGCCGTGTAGCACGGAGATGGAACGCACACAATCGACTTCACTGATAGAAATTAATTTCAATGACGTATAGCAACCATTCCTTAGGTTCTACAACATTATTCTTCAGTAAAGTCTTATTCGAGGGCAATGAAAGAAGAGAAACTGTAATATAGTTTTAAAACGTTTCCAATGACCCATTCTCAGCAACTCTACTTAGGGACTACTTTTTTTTTTTAATTTTTTTTTTTTTTTTATTTTTGAGAGAGAGAGAGAGAGACAGAGAGTGTGAGCGGGGGAGGGGCAGAGAGAGAGGGAGACACAGAATCTGAAGCAGGCTCCAGGCTCTGAGCTGTCAGCACAGAGCCCGACGCAGGGCCTGAACTCACAAACCGTGGGATCGTGACCTGAGTCGAAGTCAGACACTTGACCGACCGGGTCACCCAGATACCCCAGGGACTATTTCTACCATCGTCCAAATAAAGTTCTGCCCAACAGCAAATCTGGGCAACATTCGCGTTAGGGCTGTGTTTCTGATTATATATTAGTCATTTATTTCACTGTTGCTAAATTATACTTTGTATAAGTGGCATCATGCTCTTCTTCTCTCGAGTGGCTTTTTATTTTTTATCTTTCCTCTCAGGTGTTTTAAAATCAATGTATTACGTACTTTAAATCAGGGCTGGCAAACTACAGCCTGTCTTTGACTTGTCTTTTTATGATCTGTAAGTTAAGAATAGTTCTCACATTTTGAAAGGCTAGAAAGGAAGGAAGGAAGGAAGGAAGGAAGGAAGGAAGGAAGGAAGGCAGGAGGAGAAAAATATTCAGCAGAAACAGTATGGAGCCCACAAAACCTAAAGCACCTGCCACCCCCTACAGAAAAAGTCTGCCAACCTCTATTTTATTTTTTATTTATTTAAAAAAATTTTTTTTAATGTTTATTTATTTCTGAGACAGAGAGAGACAGAGCATGAGTGGGGAAGGGGCAGACAGAGTGGGAGACACAGAATCAGAATCGGGCTCCAGGCTCTGAGCTGTCGGCACAGAGCCTGACGCAGGGCTCGAACCCACGAACCGTGAGATCATGACCTGAGCCAAAGTCGGACGCTCAACCGACTGAGCCACCCAGGCGCCCCTGCCAACCTCTATTTTAAGTTACACGTAGGGGCACTTGGGTGGTTCAGTCGGTTAAGCATGTGACTCTAGATTTCAGCTCAGGTCATGATCTCACAGTTCGTGAGTTCAAGCCCCGTGTTGGGCTCCAAGCTGACAGAATGGAGCCTGCGTGGGGTTCTCTCACCCTCTCTCTCGGCCCCTCGCCCACTCTCAGTTTCTCTCTCAAAGTAAACAAACTTAAAAAAAAACATTAAAAAATCAAATCTATGTATACAGTTTGGATATATACATGCGTGTGTAGCAGTTTTTTTTTTTTTTTTTAAAGTTTATTTATTTTTGAGAGAGAGAGCAAGTGAGCAAGCGAAAGGCAGTGGGGTGAGGGGCAGGAGACAGGGAGAGAGAGAATCCCAAGCTAACAGTGCAAAGCCCGACGTGGGGCTTGAACCCACGAACCGTGAGATCATGACGTGAGCCGAAATCAACGAGTTGGATGCCTAACCGACTGAGCCACCCAGGCGCCCTTTTGCTGTATTTTCTGAAATGAATATATTCTATTTTGTAATATGACAACAAAAATTTACATAAGTTCTGCTATCAAGGTAAGACAGCCTAAAGTTAAATGCTGACTATACACAACTTTCGTCAGTTTTTTCCTTTCTCTTCAGATAGCTATAAAAGAACACAAGAAATACTGTTACCCTAAGTTTAGTGACAAAATAGAAAATTCTAAAATATAAAAAAACCAAAGAGAAAAAACAAATATTATTCATTGTTCTGATACAAAGTGAACACATTAACAATCTTTTTTTTTTTTTTTTTTTTTTTTTTTTTGGAAACTACTTTTATTAACCTAACAATTTAATATATTATTTGCATATTCTTCCACAATTCTTTATAGTATTTCACTGTATGAGTGTACTGGAATTTTCCTGCTCGATCCCCTCTTAGACATTTGGTTTTCGCTTCTATGTAACCCAAAGGCAAGCAACAGCACGATACAATCCACATACTTGGATATAAAACTTTTGGATTTTTGTTTCTACAGGATAAATTCCTAGAAGTAGAACTGACAGATCAAGGGGGATGTGAACTAGTAGAAGGTTTCGTATGTTATGCACACATGTCTAAGCTGCTGTGCAGCGATGCAGTGACCACACGACAGTCCTCGCTCCAAGGCAGGACTCGATCCGGCCCAAGGCTGTGGAGGCAGAAGCATTTGCTTGGAAGTGACTGGAAATATTCTCCCTTGATTGCTTTCTGTTGCCTGTCCATCTCAGACAATGCCCTGTCCACTTCCCCAGTCTTCCCTAATTTCCCCCTCCTTTTGTTAGACTTTTGGTCGGACACATTAGCTATTCTTCCGTCCACACTTACAAGGGAATCTACCCGATTATCTAGCAGGCATGCCCCACAGTGCCAAACAGACGCTGTGCTGATTTTTAATGTGCTGATAAAAGAACATGAGTAGTATCTCAAATGGTGTGAGGTAGAATCATAGAAAGTAACCCATAAATAATACTACCTAACACTTTGAGCAACTAGAGGGCACCAGTCCTAAGTTAAGAGTTTTGAGAGGGGCGCCTGGGTGGCTCAGTCGGTTACGCGCCTAACTCTTGATCTCACAGTTCGTGAGTTAGAGCCCCACGTCGGGCTCTGTGCTAACAGTGTGGAGCCTGCTTGGAAAACTCTCTCCCTCTCTCTCTGCCCCTACCCCACTCAAGCTTTCTCTAAGTTTGAAACAAACTTAAAAACAAAACAAAACAAAAAAACGACAAGAGTTTTGAGAGGGGCGCCTGGGTGGCTCAGTCAGTTAAGTGACTGACTCTCAATTTTAGCACAGGTCATGAACTTACAGTTTCTGGGATCGAGCCCTGCATTGGGCTCTGCGCTCTCCACGCGAAGCCCGCTTGGGATTCTTTCTCTGCCTCTCTCTCTCTTGCCCTTCCCCTGCTCAAAATAAAGAAAAGAATCTTTTTTTTTAAATTAAAAAAAAAAGACTTCTGAGAAACAGACATAGCTTTTTTTCTTAGGAAGATTATGGTGCAGTAGGGGAAGACAAATCAGGGATTTTACTCAAGCGGGAAGGGAAAAGTACAGAAATACAGAGCAGGGGCATCTACCGACCAGAGGAAAGCTTCTCGGAAAAAGTGAACTCACACCAAGGCCGGACTGTTTCTCTGGCCATGCTACCGCCCCTCTGAAGACCAGGACACAGGGCGGTACTGGAGGCTGGGCTCCCCTCTTCCCTCCTCAGACGTGTGTGGCCTGAGCTCCAGCCCGGCACCTGCCTCACATGGGCGAGGACTGAGTGCTAAGCTCATGTCCTGCATAAGAGCAAATCAATAACCTCAAGAGCCTTTACCCTGACAGGTAGGTTCTCACCCACGAACGCTAATTTGTTTCATCCAACTGCCTTGTCCACTTGCGTGTCTAACAGGCGTCTCAAGTGGACACACAAAACCTACTCCTGCCTTCCCCGCTAAGCGTGTTCCACGGGCAGCCTTTCCCAGGTCAGTAAAAGGGAGCTTTATCTCCCAGTTTCCCAGCTTAAAAGGGTCACCGCTGAGCTCTGGCTTTTTCTTACTTCCCACACGGAACCACTAATAGTATAGAGTCTGTGCTCAAAATACATCCAGAATCCACTCCCTCCCCACCGGCTCCATGAGGCTGACCCAAGACACCGTAACCTCCACCGAGGCTCCTCAGGAGCCCCCCGCCCCACCTCCCCTCTTCACTGCCCCTTTGCCTCCTGGCTCCATGTGGCAGAGTGACCCTTTCAAAATCCAAGTTGGATCATTTAACTAACTCCATGGCTCAAAACCCCCGTGCTGGCTTCCCGCCTCAAATTAAAAGCCAAAGACTGGGGCGCCTGGGTGGCGCAGTCAGTTAAGCGTCCGACTTCAGCCAGGTCACGATCTCGCGGTCCGTGAGTTCGAGCCCCGCATCGGGCTCTGGGCTGATGGCTCAGAGCCTGGAGCCTGTTTCCGATTCTGTGTCTCCCTCTCTCTCTGCCCCTCGCCCGTTCATGCTCTGTCTCTCTCTGTCCCAAAAATAAATAAACGTTGAAAAAAAAAAAAA